CAAATACTTGCAGAAGTTCCGCAAGTGACTTGTTAGTGGACACACGGCTTTAGGGTCGCGGTGCAAGGTTGGTTGGTCCGCCTACTCGATATGTATTCTATGTAATGTAATGTAATGTAGTCTGGTCTCTGGTTCAAAAATTTGTCGGCCTGTGTTATTATTACTTTTTTTTTATTATTATTTTATTTGTTATTATTGATTGTTTTCTTTTTTCTTATTATTGATGGGTGAATAAAAGTATTATTATTATTATATCTTATAACAATATCAATTTTAAACTTTAAATTTATTTTCTTTAAATATCCAACATTTACATCTTTAAATGATCAAAACAAAATTTTAAAAAAANGGACAACCTCATAAAATACACTTGCGAGTTACCTATGCATTCAGCCAGACGTAAGCTTTCGTTTGAGATATAAAACATTAAAATCCGTCAAACTGTTCTCTAGTTATAATTAATTCAACACAAATTATTTTTTTCTTAACAGAGGCTAGACTTTCGTGTACTCACATTGTGTGGAAACACGTCTGCAATTTCTTGCAGCAAGTTCGTCGTGATAACTTCTACAAACTACTTCTGGAAGCAGACTTCCGTAAGTTTCGGTTTGAGTGGAAACACTTCAGCAAATACTTGCAGAAGTTCTTCCGCAAGTGACTTGCTAGTGGACACACGGCTTTAGATCCACATCTTCCTTTGTAGTATCTGAAGTATCCGAAATATATGATTTTAAGGTGTCTGAGTACATTTAAGGAGATTGTAGGAAGACTTTCTTCACAATAACTTCTGCTTCCTTCCCAAGTTTAGGGATATATCACAATCTGAAGGCAACATTTATTATGTTTGTCAGCTTAGTTATTGATTTTCTTGGTATATTTACCAATAGTTCTCTNATTGATTGTTTTCTTTTTTCTTATTATTGATGGGTGAATAAAAGTATTATTATTATTATATCTTATAACAATATCAATTTTAAACTTTAAATTTATTTTCTTTAAATATCCAACATTTACATCTTTAAATGATCAAAACAAAATTTTAAAAAAACATTCATGAACCGACCAAACTACTACTCAAAAACAAATATAAAAACTTAATTCTTATCAATAGAATCTTAAATCAACATTTTTTCTTAAATCAAAATCGATCAATCTTCCATAACACCTATTTTATCACAACAAAAATTAATTATTATAAAACCTTAATACAATACGGCTCCACATCAAACGTCTGCCTCAAAATAGCACTCAAAACCAACTCAGAATTACAAACAATCCTCACTTTATCCTTTTTATTCCTCAAAATATCCCCCACCAAATGCAAATCATCCTCCTGCGTCAAAATAACGTACGAATAAGGCGCGTTTAAATTAGTAGCGTCAATTTGGGCTTGAGTTCTTCGAATCCTCTCCGTATTCCCGCCCGATAATTGAATCAACTCGACGATTTTCTTTTTACTCGGCAAAACACTAGGTGTCACGAAAAAACTTCTCCCCTCAAACAACTTGTTCCTATTTTTCGTAAGAAACGTTTGAGACAAATCGCATTTATACTCGGAGTTGAACGCTTTTAAATCAAAACCGTGTTCGTGTTCGTCGACGAAAATGTTCGCTTTTTGGGACGCTTTCAACCAAGAAGTGGGCAAAACGTAGCAACCCAACGAAATGCAACATAACAATTTGTGGGTACGTTTTAAATCGTGCATAATTAAGTGGGTACACTCGGTTGGGTTGTTAACGAGAACTCCCCCTAAATCGGTTACGATACGTTTTAAATCTGAGTATAAATCGTCGGGAACGCGAGAAAACATCACGCGGTATCGCATCGAAGAATGAATGTTGATTATGGGTTGTTCGTTATCGTTCTCATCCACAATTTGTTCTAATTTCGGTTTTTTTAACGTTGGATTTTGAAGTTGCGTTGAAGCGGCTCGTTTTATTTTTTCAAACGATTCTTGCGAGATGTTTATCGGCATTTTCCATCCATCTAATTATAATTAAATTTAAATTTCTAATTAATTTAATCACTTTATTACTTACACATTAAATTAGGAACTAAAAGCGGGTCAAAGCTAAAATTGGGGGGATCCGTGAAATTTTGGAATTTCGCGTGCTCCAATTGATTCAAAGCGGATAAATGACCCAATAAGACTTCCGTTAACCAGTTGATCGAGACGACTGGCGTGCCCCATTTTTTGGCGTGTTGAAATTTCGGCCCATCCGATGATTTTGTTGTTGCTACCAGTAATGTGTTGTGTTTTGAAAAGTAAGTTGTTAACTAAAATAAACATAATTGAATTAACTTAAATAATCTCATACTGGTATATACAGGTGTCCGGAAATTGCGATCATATATTTAAAGGTGTGATTCTACATAAAAAATCATAAAGAAAAGTTCATATAAAGTGCGCCCTAAAATTGCAACGAAATTTTGCATATCTAGCTATTTTTACGGGGCGAATACGATAATCGAATGAAAAATTAGAAAGTATGTGCAGTTGCGGAAATAAGGGATAGGGGGCGCAATTTATTTCCCATATTTTTTTTGCTTTGACCTTTTCACTATTGTAATGGAAAAATACCTTAATAGATTCTATAAATTAAACCATGTGCAATCTTACGCCAAAGAAAGGAAATATCATATATTATTGACGAGAGCAATTCGGCCGTCATCGTAGGTAATAGGAATAAGTAGAATAGAATCTGGATTCGTGTATATCTCAGTTTTTACCAATATGTGATGATTTGATGATTGTAGGTGATTTCAATATTAATGTTTTGGATGTGTGCGTACGGTTTGCTTCAGATTGTGAACTCACCTATTAGGGTAACTGCCTCTAGTTCTACGCTTATTGATCTTATTTTGGTGCGGGAGTGCGGTGTTCGGAAATTTTTTAAATTCTCGGATCACTTTTTCACTTTCTGCACCATTTTGCATGAGCACTTCAAGTCCCCTCTACTCTTTAAAACTGTCTGGGATTATGGCTCTGCAGGTCGGGTTGCTCTTGAGAGGGACCTGGGGATGCTGCCGTGGATGGATATTGTTTATACGCAGGATGTTAACGATAAATTGAGAATTTTCAATGAGCTGCTGCTCTCAGTGTTTTATGTACACATTCCTAGTAGAGTGGTGAGAGTATCCAGCCCTCGACCTAATTGGTTGAGGACCACTATTAGAGAAATGATTAAACTTCGTGATAACTTGTATAAGAGATTCAAGCATACGAGGCTGGATTCTCATAAGGATTATTATAAAAGCTTGAGAAGCTATGTTACAGCCGCTATCACAAGGGAAAAAAGGGCCTACTTTGACTCGCAGCTCTCTCCAAACACTTCCTCCGAGTATTGGCGTGGCATTAGGGAAAACGTAAATATTACTAAAGGTAAGGGTATTATCCTGGAGTCGTTGGCCAATGCAAATGAGATTGCGAATCATTTCGGCGGCGCTGTTCCTCAAACTGATATCGACTGTGATGTGTATCAAATACTACAATAACAACAAGGCTACTGCTTTTCAAACTGAATTCTCCTTCTGGGCTATCTATACTCCACGTTGATTAGTATCTCTTCCAATGCCGTTGGAGTCGATGGCATAGCACTAAAATTTGTTAAGATGTATTTTCCTTTTATATCTAGATATATTTTACATATAGTAAATTTCTGTTTAACAGAAAATGTATACCCTACCATCTGGAAATAGTCTATTGCAGTTGCAATACCCAAAAAACCAAATCCTTCCAATTATAGCAATTTAAGGCTCATTTGTCTTCTACCCGGCCTTTCCAAGGTTGTTGAAAAAATTGTGGATCGTCAGCTGCGAACACACCTAACTCAATATAATCTTCTGCCTGATTCCCAATCGGGTTTTCGTCCGAGTTTTTCGTGCGCTACTTTTCTTTTAAACCTTACTATAAACCTACTATAAACCTACTAATGACTTATAATGTCATCCACATTATGCGCTCCTCCGATTTTGGCCTTGTTACAGCCCTGGTGACACTTGACTATTCTAAGGCATTTGACACTATCAATTATCAAATGTTGCTTGCTGTTGTTAGGTTTATGGGTTTTAGCCGTGAATCCGTGGATTTCTTTCGACATTATTTGGAGGGCAGAAGTATGAGGGTGCGCGTTCGTGATTCTACTTCTTGTGAATTTTACACTCGTACAGGTGTGCCGCAGGGTAGTATTTGCGGTCCTATCTTATTTGTCCTATACACTAGTGCCTTCTCGTTATACGTCCGTTACTGTAAATTACTAACTTATGCAGATGATACACAACTATATTTGAGCTTTCCGTTGTCAGAGATTGAAAGTGCAAATAGTCGTTTAAATCAAGATATCGAACGGGTGGTGAATATTGCGGAAGGGCACGGTCTATTGATTAATGGTACGAAATCATCAGCTATTATATTCGGTAGAAGTAAAGATCTTGGTCCTGCCAGAGCATCATTGAGCATTCGTGTGGGTGGCGATGAATTGCGCGTAGTTGATACTGTAAAACTCTTGGGGGTATGGCTGGATTCGGATATGCGTTTTAATACACGTATCAATTACTTACTTAGATGTTCGTATGCCACGCTAAAGTCTTTATACGCCAACCGTCACATTTTAAGCACGCAAAGTAGAGCCTTGTCCACTGACACGTTGATACTTTCTCGGTTTAATCACTACAACGCTGTTTATGGACCTCATCTGCGTGCAGATGCTACGGCACGAGTCCAACGAGTCCAGGGGGCGTATCTCCGTTGGATATTTGGTATACGTCGAAATCAAAGGATCTCTTACAAGTTGCCCGAGATACGGTGGCTGAGTATGACAGCAAGGAGAATTTTTCATTAGGGAGTATTATTTTTCAAAATTATTATGTTCAAAACTCCGGCTTACTTGCACAATAAAATCAGATTTAGAACGGACGTTCATAATATAAACGCCCGCAGAAAGAACTGCCTGTCTATCCTGCCTCATAGCACCCAACTGTTTAAAAGGTCTTTTTCTTATTGCTGATTTTTGGAATTCACTGCCGGAAGCTTTGCGCTCTAAACAATCAGTGCCTGCCTTCAAAAAAGCATTTAAATTACAATTTGTTTTTTGATGTTGCTTGAAAAAACAATTTTGTTTTTGTTCTTTTATGTTTTGTCACGTTTTGCGTGTTTTCTCGATTTATCTGGGCATATATCAAGATTAGGAGTCTCTCTTAAAAATCGATTGTTTTTTTTTTAATCGATAGGAAATGAGTCAAAAGAGGCGTAAATGATAAAAAAAAAGTGCGGAAAAGTGTAGTACTTACCGAAAAATCACTTTAAAGTTGCGATTTGACGTTTTGTTTTGGAAGTTAAAAGCAATGTTAAATATGCATTTTCGTACTAAATCCTAACCTCAAATTGTTTAATTTATACCCACGCACTAAATAAAAACTTATTTTCACTAAACTTGTTGAGATTACAACATATTTTCGGATGAAAACCTTATTTCTTAGGCTATCAAAGCATAACGACAATTACCTGTCGTTAGATAGAATTGTTTCTACCAAATGTGTGCTAATAGACTTTATGTTAATAGATTGTGTATCAATTGATATGTCAAACGACTGAAATATCTTTATATTGTAAATATAAATGATAAATAAGTATAATAGCTTATTTAATAATACCTTACTTAAGTTAAAATAGTTAATTAATTAAAAATTATTATTAAACAAGACGTTACAAAATAATAATAAAAAAATAACCCGTGTGACGATGGCAACAAACTGTGCATTTAACCAAATGACAATTACCTACAACTGACAACACAAGCAATGTTAACCATGTATTTTCGTATTAAATCCTAACCTCAAATTGTTTAATTTATACCCAC